ACCTTTAAATTTCCTCGACAAAAATTTCAAACCCAACATCGAGAATTAGCTTGAGGAGATTTTGAGAATATAAACTTCTGAACAGATACGTACCTATTTTAAGATAGCAGCAAATTTCAATTCCTAGGCATAAATTATTTTATGAATAATATAAAACTTTAACTATAAAATCTTAAGAAGTTGGACTTTGGAGTTAGGACATTGCCATACCATATATTATTTGCTTTATTAAAAAAGTGAAAAATAATTTTAAAAATTAGTCGATCGATATATAGGATAAATATATCTAAGTGTCAAAAAATATTGAGGACTTTAAAAGTATACACCACAAGTGGTGTAGCGTAATCTATTAAGAGAGAGACGGTTAGATTTCTATTTAAGAGAGGAGAAAAAAGGTAGTTGAGTAACTTGTGTTCCCATAAACAGAGACGAGCATAATCCGTAAATAGAGCTTAAAATTAGATTTATTCTTTGTTTATTTATTTATTTTTCATGAACTAAAAATGAAAGGTATATGCGTGAAACAATCCACTAATTGATTGATCGATTTTAGATACTATACCATTGCCATCTATTGTATTTTCAAACAGGAGATAGGAGGACCCTATGGAAAAATGGTGGTTCAATTCAATATTAGAGCACAAATGTGAACCATGTAAATCAATGGACATAGCTAAAATTGATTGTTGTTCTTATATAATTCAAACTATCCACAGGGTATTAGGGACCCAAATTTGGATATTTGTAAATGAAGAATCCAAATTTGGATATTTATAAATGAAGAACAAAATAATGATTAGTATTTTATTAGAAACATCTTTGAACAAAATATTAGTATTTTATTAGAAACATGAGGATTTTTAAGTATTTTATTAGAAACATGAGGATTTTTAAGTAAATTTTTCTTCAACAATCGTCTCCGTTATCGACTAAATTTCAACAGCTCTTAGATCTGAAAATGTGAAGCTTGAAATTCTTAAATACCAATTCTTGGGGCATATGAAATGCGGTATTTTTTTTCATAGAGATTCTTAGATAAAGTTTCACATGAGGAAACGGCCGGAAGATATGCTCCCGCCGGAGCATATAATTCTTCCCCTAATATTCTCCTTTCCACTATATTCCTGTCCTTGTCTTCCTATTATTGTCCTACCATATCGTAACTCTCCTCCACCCGCTAGATTCGCTCCTTTTCACTCTCCTAGCCCAGCTCTCTCTCTCTCTCTCTCTTTGTCATGTATATGCCTTTCCTTGTATGATAAGGTTTACATAAACCACTAATTTTAGAAACGGATTAGTGACGCCGATCAAGCATCGTCAAAACTAGTTTAGATCAGTAAATCGGCTGTCTGGATCATATTTTATTGTGGGGAAGAAATAGTGAACTGGTGATAAAAAACCATGCAAAAACAATAAACCGATAAAAAACTGGTACATATCAGTAAATAGGTGTTTTTCTATAACAAAAGGCCATTTTACTATAGTAAATCGTTGGTTCTCTTCTAACAATTTCCTTTATATTGACAAAATCAGCACGGGTTGACTGATTCTTAAGTTAGACCGGATGATTCCGTGCCGACCCGACGTTTTTTTAAATCTTTGCTTTTGAAATCATGTCAACAGATGTATGAATAAGAGGGAAATAAAAAAACCTTGTACAGACCTGGCCCTTTCTTTTGTCATTTGCGCTCTTCTCTTTAGCATTTATTATTCATGGAGCATGTATTATACTTCTGTAGGAGCATAGCATATATTTATTTCCACCGAGCATTATACTTACTTGGAAGGATTCCTTCCATCTTAAATTTTGGAACCGAATATATTATTTTGAAAAAAAAAGAAAAAGATTTGACTTGTCTAACACTTATATTTCACCATAAAAAAAATTCGACCCTCTTTATTCAATCTCACGACATTATTTTTTTCAAACGTGTAGAAGGTGGCATTTGGAATTTTTATGACGTTAGTCTATGGGTTGAACATGTTAGATCCCGAAACGTGTAGTCCTAAAGCGACTCAAATTTTTATTAAGAAAACATTATATGTGTCCGGGGATGCATTCATAATTTTTTATTAAAAAAAAGGTTATATGTGTCCGGGGATTCATTCCTACATTTGTGTACCGCCATGCATAAACCATCCATCTAAAGATGGATATAGACGATGGTCCCTTCTATTAAAAGGTGAATTCTTTAGGTTCAAATATTATAATAAAGCGATTATTTTTCTTTTTTAAAATTACTTTTTTAATATATTAATGATCTTTATGTTAGACATGATATATTCTTTAAAAATTAGGATCAAAATCTATTTAAAAAATAAATTATTATGGGGCGTGCTTTTCTATACAAGAGTCCGGAGACTCATTAAGGTTATAAATTAGGATGGGGTTTCTTTGAGTCGGCCAACTCACATCTACATGCTGCCCGTTCTAAAATTCATTTTAAAGATGGTTCTTTATTTATATATTTATTTTTTAGATTTATCATCTAAGCCAAGATGATCATGAATATAAAAATAAAAATAAACTCTTAAAATAAAAAATATAATTCGTTTGATATTATTTTGTGCACCGTCCATGTGTTATTTATCGATTATACACTTGACATAACCTCCCTCTTTGGGATGGACGTTTATAAGTCAGCATGCTCTTTCGCTTGATGACTCATGGAACATTTTTCAGATAAATTAATGCTGCCAAAATTTCATCATAAATTTTTCTTGAGAATTTTTATCAAAATTTATCTAAGAGATTAACTACTAAATATTTTATCTATGAATAGGGTTTTTGTGTGGGTGGACTCACATGTAGCCCTATATCTCACACCTTCCATGTTAAATGGATGATGGTGATTGCACTAGCAACACTGCAATATGCATTGACCAACTCAATTGAATTTGAGCAAGGGTCCAATGCAACAGTTGTATCGTATTATAATGAAACGATACTTCTAGAAACTATGTTTCTGCTATTTGTATGACCCCAAATTTTGCACACACACTCATTTCATCTCAATAATCATTCTCCAAAAAAAAAAAATTCAATTTGAACCCTAGATATAGTCAAAATGAGTCCCTTCTAGAAACGAATCTAGACCATTCATTTTGTGAATTTCAAGATCTTAGCCTTTATAAGCTCAAAATCAATTTTTTATTTCTTAACATTGTTCATCTAATGATAATAAAGTCATCTAAAAAAATTGGAAATGAAAAAATCTTTCTAAGACCTAGATCTAATCATCTCACCAAAATGGACAGCCTATGTTAATTGGGCTAAAAAAAATACTTCCTAGATTGTGTTTTCAATTTTTTATTTTTTTGTGATTGTTCATTAGAATGAAAAGAGTGTATATTTCACAATTTGGATCAAACAAATGGCCATAAGATGATTTTTTAAGGTTGGTGCATCATATTATTATACAACGGTTGCATGAAATCATTTTGTTTTTTGTGACACTTAGATCTAGCTATTAAAAAATTAGATAGTCTCTTTTTAATCTCGAGACATTATTGTTTTTTTGTATATAAATAGTTTATTTTGGATTTTTTATTGAAATTAATTTATATTTGTGGAGGCTATATCCCAAAATTTGATATCTAATAAATATTTCTGACATTGATTATACACTAGGGAGTACATAGATGGTCTATTTAAACAGGAGTATGAAATATTTGAACAAAATATGGCATAAGCAAGTGTGGAGACTACTATCTCCAACTAAAACGGAGAACATAGATTACTCTCTTGGCATGTCCATTATTGGTAGAGTTTATATAAGGCATAAATCTTAATCAAACAAAGTAAGGCACACTATGAAAGATGAAGTTTGAGTGCCACGAACTCTTGTGATGGCATACAAATTTATCTTTATTTTTAATTATAAAATTGAAAGCCTCGTGGCAACCAAGCAAATCTATAAGTATTTGAAAATATCGAAATTACAAGAATTAAGTAATTATTATAAAATAATTTATTTTTTAATATATAAAATCCTTTTTCTTATGCATTTGAGTTTGAGATGATCAATCGAAAGATTTTTTAAGCTTAGAACAACTATTTTTTATTTATTTTTTTCAATGTTGACTTATTTTATAGAGCAATGATTTAATGCAACGGTTGTATAGTAATACGATGCAATAACTCCATAGTAATACGATACAATAACTCTAAGAAACCATATTATGGCCATTTGTTTGATCCAAAATTTGAAAGATATATATTGTTTTCATTCTAATGAACAATCACAAAAAAAGAAAAAATTGAAAACACAACTTAGAAAGTATTTTTTTAGCCCAAGTAACATAGCCGTTCATTTTGGTGAGATGCTTAGATCTAGGCCTTAGAATGATTTTTTCATTTCCAAATTTTTTAGATGGCTTTGTTATCATTAGATGAACAACGTTAAAAAAGAAAAAAATGATTTTGAGTTTACAAAGGCTAAGATATTAAAATTCACCAAATGAATGGCCCAGATTCATTTTTGAAGGGGATTCATTTTGACCATATCTAAGGTTTAAATTGATTTTTTATTTTTTTTTTGGATTGATGAAGAGAGTGTATGTGCAAAATTTTAGGTCATACAAATACCACAAACGTGATTCTCTAGAAATGTCGTTGCATTATACTATAATACAACCGTTGGATGAAATCATTGCTCTATTTTATAATATAGAATTTATAATAAAAACCTTGAATAGTTTTTTTTATTTTCAACAAATTTAAAATTTCTCCTATCCATTATCATCCTATTTCATCACTTTCTCTCTCTAAAAACTCTCTCTCTCTCTCAGCACAACTTAGTCGAAAGTCCGATAAGATGTAACTTCCCACAGATTACCGACCCTTTTTCTTTCCTTTTCATTACCGCCGTTGGCGTAGGGTAAGAGATAAACTTTCCCGTTATATTGTCTATCCATTTCTACTTTTGCCCGTTATCAATAGACAGACCAGATTAAACCACACTTCCCTCATAAAACCATCTCGACCGTCCAGCTGACACTTTCTCCTCTATATATAGCGAACTGGATGCGTTATTGCCTTGTTATGCGCTGCGTCTGTTCTGCAACGGCATGCGTTGCTTTCTATCCTCGAATTAGGGTTTTGGTTTTGTTTTTTCTGAAACTTGCGTTCTCTTCATCTAGTTAGGGTTTAGGGTTCGGGTTTTGATCTTTTTTAACCATAAGCAGATTTGATTTGTTCAAGGTGAGGTTTCCTGGGGTATAATCTGGCTTTTGGGGAATTTTTTACGGTTAATTTGGTGATTTATATCTAGTTATGGTTTAAGATTGCCTTTCTGATTCGTTTTTGGTTAGGGTTTCTAGTTGAGAACATTGTATGGTCCTTCTCTGGTCGGGGACTTGAATTTCTACAGTTGTTGAGGCAAATTCGCTGAGGAATCCAACTCTGGTTCATAATCTGGTGAGTATTAAATTTTGTTTACAGAGTTTTGGGTTTCAATTTTCTTTTGGAATTCACTGGGATAATTTGGTTACAGCTTCATCTAGGTTCTATCCGTACTGGTTAGGATTATCTGGAAGGTTAGTGGAATTTATCTGTCGAATTCTTCATTTGGGTTTTATCTCCTTATCTTCATATCAAAGCATACATTTGAACGATTTTTCAGCAGAAAAATATTTTATCGTTTCTGTTGAGGATAACGTAGAGGTTGTTTCTCTAGATTGGTGAGTATACAGGGATTTGAATTGGGCTTACTTGAAGGTTTGGGTGAATTTTCAGTTTATGCAGAGCCTTGATGGTTTTAATCAGGTTATTTGTGTGGTCATAATAGACAAACTTAACTAATTATCGTTGGAGCTATCAGAAGCCATTGTTGCCTTTTGAACTGTGTGTCTTTTCACAGGCGTATAAGCCCCATCCTCCATAGACGGGAAGGGTCCTGTTCGATTTGTTGAATTTAAGGGTTTGTCCCCTATTGTATTTCTACTGTTGAAAATAACCACTTACCATCATTCTATAGAAGAAACATGAAAGCTCCTTCAGCTCCTAAGAAACGAAACATCACTTTCCGATATGACATAACATCGAGCCTCTCAGCTGCTGGTGTCCCTTCTGTGCCAATTCCAACCAGGCAAAAGAAGCTTCGGCGCTTACCCCACATATTTTCTAGGGTTTTAGAGCTCCCTTTTCGATCTGAAGCCAATGTTTTGGTCCAAGAAAATCATGAATTCTTTCGATTTGTAACTGGAACCAATCTAGTAAGCGAAGATGTGAGAGCCCAATTGATTGAGATTATCCCTGGGGTTACCAAGATTGTTATCAGAGGTAGCAATATGTTGGACTTATCTCTAGATGAATTAGAGCTTGATTTGTGGCGCTTTAGGCTCCCTCCTTGTGCCCAACCAGAGCTAGCTAGTGCTGCTTATGTGGATGGAAAGCTTATTGTCACCATTCCAAAAGGCCCATCATCTGATGATGATGATGGTTCTGATAATATTGACATAGAAACAGGGCAGAATGGGGAAAATTCAGGCAATGACACAAACCCTAATTTGCCAAATACTCGTAGTCAGGGAAGTTTGGATAGAGGAGGAGGATTGAATGATGGGTTTGGTGGGGAGCAAGGATCTGGTTTTGATTCGGAGATAGGAGGTTTGAATGACGGGTTGGGTGGCGAGCAAGGAACTGGTTTTGATTTGGAGAGAGGAGGTTTGAATGATGGGTTGGGTGGCGAGCAAGGAAATGGCTTTGATTCAAGCAATTGGCCTGGATCTTTGGCGTCGAACCAGTCTTCAGTGAGCCGCCCTCAAGCTTTGGGTGGTCATCTTGTCCTTGTACAGTGAAATCTTGAATGTTTGATTTCTTTAGCTCATTTTTGTTTTCCAGTTTTTTCATTTTTCCTGCAATGGCATCAATTTCGGAGACTATGAAAATTTATATTTCATAGATTTCCATCTTGTTTTGCTCTTTTTCTTCAATGGTATATATGAATGTTGCATTTTTCTTTAAAACTGGTAAGATGCAGGCCTAGTACACTTTGACGACAATTTTTTATGTCGACTGTAATTAGCCGGATCTACATTTGATGGGGTGCTCTTCATCTGTGGAATGCTCTTACAAAATGATATATAGTCACTGAAATGAATGGTGTGTTCGTATGTATATTGTGCTTGAAAGATATGTTGCAGACATATGTACGTTTGGCATTTATTCTATATCATAATTTTTTTTGGAGGAGTTTATGAATTGTTTCCTTGAACTTTGGGATTTTTCGTCAAACAAAACAGATAATAATCTGATAATCTAAATGTAGCTGGTTCCTACTGCTAACGGTTTCACCTTCTTTCTTAACAACAGTTTCAATTTTCTATGGCAGTTATTTTTCAATTCTTTGGCCAAAAATGTAATCTGTGATTGTATTCGCATTCTTTTTCCTATCTCATTTGAAGATCTGGCTGGACAAAATCATCCCGGAGTTTTATCCGGAAAGGCTTTTAAGAGTGACACCACTGCATCATCAAGAGAGCAAAACATAGGCACCATTTTGCAATTTTGAGTGTTTGAATCATGTTCACTAAATTTCTGTAGTGTCGGCATGGGGTTTATGCTGTAGAAATCATACTTGTTTATCCTCCTCTCCAAATCCGTTCTTTTTCACATGCAATTGTAGAAATCAAAACAAGTGGAACTTTTGGATCTTGCAATTCTACTTGTAAAATTGTGTTACTTCACTGAAGATGGCTGAGGCCATTGTATTAGTTTTATTGGTCTCAAAATTGCATGACTAGAGTTCTATGAAAGTGATTATCATTAGTTTTCAACATGCATCTATTTTACATTTCACAACTATTTGGCCTCTTGCCCTTGTATATTCTTTGGAATTTGAGTGAATTAGCTTTAACCACACCTTCTCTGCTGATCATGATAAAAGAAACTTTAAGAGCTCTGAGTTAGGAATTGGGGGATCTCCCCATTTACTTTCACTTGTATCAGTTTCTCCTATGAACCAATTTCAGTCCTGTATTTTTGGTCATGTAAAGCTTCAAATCCTTTCGGAGTCTTAAACTGTGAATTCAGAGTGAACCCCTGTGGATATTCATGGTTTTGCCCAAGTGTTCATGTTTTCAATCACTGTAATGATGGTTTTTGGCGAGTTTCATGGATATTGCCTAATGACTTGAAGTTTGCACATGGAATATGGCCATTTTTATGTTGAAATTTCGCGGGGCCCTGCTTGCCTTGACCCTTTGATTTTTTTTATTTTTTATTTGTGGATTTGTGGTCTCTCGCTCATACACGAACTTTCAGGCAAGGCCGAGGCAAGTTACTCGGCCCAAGTTATATACAGGCTGAAATCAATATTAAAAATAAGTGAAAAATAAGTAAGGTTATAGAAATCTGTAGGAGATCAAAGAAGATAAAAAAAATTAATAAAAGATGGATTATTGATATTTTTGATTTAGATATTGAATATTTTAGAAAAATAAAAATATGTTTATGAAACATCTTAAAAATTATTGAAATCATGAAAAAATTTAGTTGTAACTATGCATATATGTATCTGGTTAACCCCCTTTTCAAGGGTGGGGAAGTTGCCATGGAAATCGCCCCCAACTTTGGCCGCGTTATGTACTGTTGTTTGCATATCATCCTTGAACTGTTGTTTTCATATCATCCTTGAATATGCGACTCTTACGATCTTCATTTCCCACGTTTTAGAGCCCTTGGGAATCGGTGCGACTAGACCGCTTTCCACCATATATTGAGAACCGACCGGTTTTGTTAGTGGGCCGATTTAGTTCATCTTTATTTTTTATTTTTGAATTTTATTCTCTATTTTTTATTTTTTATTAGCTGATTCACTCGACTAAATCACGGACTGCTTATTCGTCTATCTGGACTGATTTTTAGGACAAGCAAGGTGGGTCACCAATCCTTTTTTTTTTTTTCAACATTGATACGGGTACCTTTCCTAAAAATTCCTAATTCAATCTTTTTTAATAGTGTTTTTTACAATAAAGTAACATGTTTTTTTTATTTTACTGATCTTTTTTGCTTCTTAATCAACCCCCCCTCCCCAAACAAAAATTATAACTGAAATCTACATAAAACTAATAAAGGCAAACTCCTCAAGGAAACATGGATCTCTCTCTAATCCACGCAAAGCCAACTCTTCAAGAAAACATTGGATATCTCTCTCTGTCTCTTTCAAATCTACGTAAAAACAAACTTTTCAAGACAACATTGGATCCGTCTCTCTGAAATTTACATAAAAGCAAACTCTTCAAGAAAACATTCGATCTCTCTCCCTATTGGAAAAAGTTTATATAAGGTTGTAACCTTAAATTGTAGAATTAAGGTCTATCTTAAAAATCTATTAGAAAATATTATTTTTGGAAAAATCACTAATTTACCATCTCGATATCGAGATATATGGATATGAAAAGAAAAAAAGATCTCAGATATCAAAAATATTGCATCTTGAAATGTATTACCTTGATCTTTCAAGATTTTCACGTGTTTATAGATCTATTTTATTTTATTCTTCTCAATATCATCATCATCATCGTTATTATTATTCAAACGAAAATTATGATGTTAAAACATCCCAATTAATATTAGAGGGTTCACTTCTTAATTTTCATTTTATTCAGGTACCTTCTAAAAAAATCCTAAAAACTGTCCAAATATATTTTACAAGGAGGTATCTAAATGAAATAAAAATTAAAACATAAACCCTCTAATACAAATTGGGATCTTCTAACCTCTTAGTGATATTATAAGGGGTTTTAGCCACCTACCTGTTATTTTCCCCAATACGAAAGATCGGCGGTTCGGAAGTTTTCAGGTCACACAATTTCTGCTTCCAGATTTGGGTTTTCTGTAGCAAGGGTTTTGGCCGTATAGTTCATAGCCCCGGCCTCTCGTGCCATTCGATTCCAATAGATGGCAGAAGATGATCTAACTCACTCTATTCAGACATGGCAGTCATCCAGTGCTAAAGGCACAAGAAGGTCCCTTGAAGGTGCAACACAAGTTGCTCTAAGACATCTCCATTTTTAAATTGATCTAATAGAGAATAATTTGGTCCATGATTTCACATAGTTTTGAGCAATGAGACTGGAAGCGGCTTCAACGTAAAGTTAGAACTTTGGAGGGAGCGTAAGTCAGATCCACCTATGCACCCCGAGGGGGGTATCTATTCAATGGCCCCCTAGATCTAGTCGAGTCTAGACCTACCCCACGGCGTTGCTTATGTTAAGGCCCTATGACCAAATCATCCCACATCTCCAATGCAAGCTGGTCCATTATCAATAAGCTTAAGTACCAGGTTAGTAACCAGGTGGTCATGGTGGAACCTCTAGCCAAGAGGGGTGCACCGACATGACAACCCTCAACAACCATGGAATTAGACCAATCTAAAGGCTTTAAAATTAGCCAAACTAAGACATAATATATCGAATGCAAGTATAGTAATAATAGGAGTATAAACGAGAAAGTAATTAATATTGATGGTCAAGAAATACTTAAAATAGAGTATTTTTTATATCTTTGGTCGATAATTCAAGAAAATAGAGAGATTGAAGAATACATCGCACATAGAATTAGAGCTGGATAGGCTATTTGGAGATATGCATTCATAGTTTTATGTGATTACCACATACCAATCAAGTTGAAGGGAAGTTCTATGAGATTAGCTTTGCTTTATGGAACAGAATGATGGGTGGTCAGGAAACTACATACCCATAGGATGAGTATAGCTGAGATGATGATGTTGAGATAGATGAGTAGCAAGATAAAAAAAAAAGATAGTATTCAAACTGAATTCATTCGAAGGAACTTAGGTATAGCTTCAATAAGTGATAAGATGTAGGAAAATAGATTTATGTGTGCGGGCCATGTAGAACGTAGACCGAATACAACATTGGTTAGGAGGTTTGATTTTGTTCAGGTGGAAGGTTCTGAAAAGGTAAGGGGAAGGCCCTAAAGGACATGGAAGAAAGTAATGAAAAAAAGATACGGGGGTTTAAAGTCTTACTGAGGGTATGACTCTTGATGTAGCGAAATGGTAGAACATGATTCGTGTAGTCGACTTCAAATGGTTGGGATAAAACTATGATGATGATGATTTAAACAATTTCCCTAGTTTCACCAATAGGATACATTTTGGTCCACGGGAACAAATAATCGTTTTCCAGGAGAAGAGAACACACTTGAATGAACTGTGCAGTGCCCAATAGGGGTCTGAAACATCCGAGAGCGAGAGAGATAAGGGCTCCGCAGTTATGGACTACAATACTACTACTGTCAGGACCTCAGCTAGGCGAGTGTGTGCTAGTCAAGGGCAAGGCTAACAAACCTCCCTTGATGCACCAGCCAGACGCACCCCTTGAACCTCCTACTAGCCTCACGCATTATCTTGCAAGCCTCGTGCAGTAGCACTAGCCTGGTGCACCAATTAGGCTCATGCGTGCATCTTTGTTGAAAACGGTGGCAACTCACGGATGGCCAATCTTTTACGAGAGGTGGGATTGTGAGAGGCAGATAAGGAAAGTGCTCATCATGGTGCGTGGGTGCATGAGCTTGCGCGGTGCAACTCCAACATGGGCTAAGGATAAGGATGGACCGAAGGCACCTAGGTTGGGCAGGCGCCAACTTCAAATTCAAATTGACTTTGAATTGATCGTGGGATGGTATAATGGGGGGATATGAGTAGGCTAACCGCTCAGGGGGCCTCACGCAGAGGATACAGTGACATGGCCAACCTGCCTAGCCATTAGCTGCACCTAACCAGGCCATGCGCATTGGCTGCTCACCACTTTTATTGTGTTCAAATTTTCAAATTTCACCCCCCTGAGTTTCCCGGCATTTGTTTGCTGGAAGATAAACATTCCTGGAAAAAATAAGTTCTTTGTTGGAAAGTGGACGTATTTGTTCCGGAAAGTTTAAATAAATTATGGGTATTGTGTTTGATAACAATGTAATATAAATATTCTATATCATATTATTACTATATAATATATAACATACTATAATATATAATATATGTATTTTATATTTGTTTTATTAAAATATATTTGTATTATATATAATATATAATATAAATATATATTGTATTAGTAAGGATAATGTTACAATGTTAGATTATACTGAAATATATTATCTAATTTTATATAATATAGTATAATATAAAATAATATGTTATTTAAATTATTCTATATATGATTAATATATATTATATATATAATACAAATAACATCAATAAAATAAATATCAAGTTCTTTGGCTAAAATATGTTCCCAAATTTAAGCTCCTACCTTGGGCATGAAACAAAAAAGTTAGAGGAATAAAAATGTTCCAACAAGTTCCGGAAATTGTAGTTCTTCATGTGCATGAAACACGAGATCGCTACAGAATTAGGGACTTATTTGTTCTGAAAAAATAAGTTCCCCCAAACAATGACGCCCTAGGTTTTTTCTATGTCTAAACTTTGTGACCATTAGCCAAACAAATAGAATATCAACCAAAACAAATATACAGTCGAATATCATTTCTCTCTATTTCACTTTCTTAACTTCGTGCCTAAAAAATTAGCCAAGAATTACAAAACCTGGACTAGTCAACAAAATTGGCAGCAATTTGAACTGCCACTGCAACCAAACAGTTATGCTTCTACGCAAGGAGACTTGAAGCCTTGACTATGCACTCTTCCACTTTGTGAACGATTCATTATTCATGTATATGTATTTTGACCGCACATGGTTTATGTATAATGGATTTCGGTACCTCCTAAGTTAAGGCTGGTTGCTTTGTTCCTTACAGGCGGACCATGTCTTCCATGTCTCTCTACCTTCGTATCCTGAAAAAGAACAAGCACATGGTTATTAGTCAAAAGATTGTTTCATTAGATAAAATTACCTTCCATGATTTCCAACGCCGAATATAAAATTTGAAGCTAAACAAATGGTACAAATTTGGCAATCCATGAACACTTATTTTTAGGGTAAATAGACCGTCTAGATAATGTGTATATTAGGGCTATACACTATTTTTAGGTCTTAAAATCCTTTTTTTTTTTTTTACAACCATAATGGTCGATTTCAAGATTTTCTGACTGCAGAACTACAATTTTCAGTGAGTTTTGAGGTGAGACTTATTTTGATAGGACTGCAGTCCTATCAAAACATAGTTCTACGTATTTTTAATTTTGGAAAATACTAGTAGTATTTTAAAATAGGGTGAGGTTTGTATAACGTGTCAACCTTAAACAATCGCAGTAAGGTGATCACCTCAAATTCTCATTAAAAATGTTTTTTGGTGCCAAAACTCTTATCATGGCCTAAAAGTCTATTTTTCATCCCTATAATGAAATTGACAGCTCCGAAAATGGTGCAAATCTAACAGATCTATAAGCACTTGAAAATATTGAAAATGGATAGTCTAGATAATGTGTTACAAAATGTACCATTTTGAGAACTTGAAATTCTTTTTTTTTTTCATATTCATATATATCGAGGTCAAGATGATCAATAGGAGAATTTTCTAGTGACGAAACAACCTTTTTCGATACGTTTTTGAGATGCACCTTACTTCTATAGTATATGATAGACACCTTGTATAAACTTTTCCCTTCAAAATAATACACTTTCTAATGTTGTTTTCCTGAGTTTTTAATAATTAAAGAGAGAATGTGGTGCGTACATTGAAGAATAGAATGAAAAAGAACGATAATTATATGAAAAGCTCTCATGCTTTATATTCACGGAACAAATGAGAGAGTGTAGGTGTACGTCCGGAGCACCCAATAGCTTCGATGGGCCTAATTTCAATAGGTGTCAATAAAACTTGTGTTTTTGTTGACCACACTTAAAATTGCACATGTCATCACCAAGCAAAGGGCAGAGAATGAAGTGGACCCCAAACTATCCAAATACAGGCAAAAGTGTATAGAGGACAATTATACCCTATTCTCAATGCGCTTACTAATCCAATTTCTCAAAAAATATTATTGCTCGGTGGCAACAACAAGGGAACTCTTGCATCTCTTGGAGACAACTTCCTTATTTCTAATCATTTAGAATTTAAATTAACTGATAACAAGTCCAAACTCAACTAGTGTATGAGTTACAACTTCTTGCAAGTGAACTCAACTCAAGTGGACTTGGGTTAGATGAAGCTTTTCAAGTGGGGAACATCTCTCATAAAAAAGGATACCAAAGAAGATGACGCACAAAAAGGTTGGTGTTGGCTTGGTTCAACTTCAACGATCTCTTCACATAGAGGAAGAGGGCAGATTTCAAGAAAAGGAGGAGGAAGTGATGGAATATAATTCTAAAGCTATAATCTTGTAGAATACAAGTCTTAAGGATATGGCTGAAAAAAATAAACGGCCTTTCTTTTCTTAGAATGATATCCCTAAGAATAAAAAATCCATAAAGAAAAAGGGAATGTTCTTTATCTATGGAAAAACCAGTCACCACTCAAAGGGATGCCGACACCGAAAAAGGTATCAAAAACCTCAAAGTTAAGTAAACATGACCACCGAAGAGATTTAGTGACATGACAATGGTCACTAAAACTCATATGACCGATAAAGAGGAAGGTTGGTGGGTAGATGCCAATGCTAACATCCATGTGACTAACAACCGGAACTGCTTTAAGACAAATGAACCGGTATAAGAATGGAATTCAGTTGAATAAGGGACTCGAGCAATTGCCAAAATGCTGGGTAAAGGGGTAGTTGAATTGTAGTTGAGTTTGGAAAAAACACTGATCTTGGAAAATGTGCATCATGTTACCAAACATGGGAAGAAACTTGTTGGGCTATTTGTTGAATAAAAGGGGATTCAAACTGGTCATTGGATCTTACAAGATTGTTTTAACCAAGAATAGTATATTTATGGGCAAGGGATATTCTTGTAATAGAATGTTCGAAAGGATTTGAATAATGAAATAAGAAATAATTATATTTATATTGTGAGTTCTTTTTATTTATGGCATGCTGCTAGATTAGGACATTTGAATTTTGCTGCAATAAAATCCATGGTTAAGCTAGGTCTTATGTCTAAAAATGGTGATGTATCTAACGAAGAATGAGTCGTGTGCGCAAGCCAAAATAACCAGAAAGCCATATCCTTCAGTAGAAAGAAATATAAAATTATTATGACTTGTACATAATGATATATGTGATTTAAATAATGTACTCACAAAAGGAAGAAAAAGATAATTACTTTCATAGATGGCTTTTCACGCTATAAATATGTATATTTATTAAGACATAAAAATGAAGTTTTGCAAATTTTAAGATTTTCAAAGCTGGAGTTGAGAATGAAATAGGAAAATAAAAATCGAGAAGTTACAGGAGAGAATACATGTCTAATGAATTCACAATTTTTTTTAAAAAATAATAGAATTATACATCAAGTCACTACTCCATATACCCCTCAACAAAATAGTTTAGCAAAAATAAAAAATACAATATTGCTAGAAATAGTTAATTCCATGTTCATAAACTTAGGTGTACCTTTAAATTTAGGGGGTGTAGCCTTACTTTCGGATTGTGTAATAATAAATATAAGAAAATTAATAAAACCCCAAATGAGTTAAAGCTTAATTAATAAAACCCCAAATGAGTTAAAGCTTGGACCTAGAACCTCCATATTGAACCCGTAGAAAATAATAAACACCAAAATACTTAAATTGAATCGATAAAAAATAATAAAGAGGTAATAGAACCTAGATGGAGTAAAAGAGCAATAGGAGATCTTAAATATAATTTTGGCCAAGATTTTTATATTCACCTAATTGAAGCAAATCAAAATAAGGTGTTGAGTGTAGTAACTATTGCTTTAAATGTGGAGGAAGATTCTTTCTCATTGGATGAAGCTTTGCCATCTCATGATGCAACATTTTGGAGAGAGATCATTAACAGTGAAATGAACTCTGTATTTGCTAAGAAAACTTGGAAATTCGTGGACCTACCACCTAGTTCTAATCCCTATAGGATGTAAATGGACTTTTAAAAGAAAACTTGATGCAGATTGGTTAATTAAGAAGTATAAGGCTAGATTGATAGCCAAAGGATATACACAAAAAGAGGGCATAGACTATTTGGACACAGATGCCCCAATAGCAAGGATATCTATTATATTATTGCTTTCAGTAATAGTATCTATTAACCATCTAGTCATTCACCAAATCGATGTAAAAACATAATTTCTATATGGTAAACCAGTTGAAGAAATTTATATGTAAAAATCCGAAGGGTTTATTATGCATGTTCATGAAAATAAAGTGTATGGACTAAAGCAGACATCAAAGCAATGGCACAAGAAATTTGATATTGTATTAATATTAAGCAGTTTTAAAAGAAATGAGGCAAACAGAAGTGTTTATAGTAAAATAATTAATTCTGTGTGTCATTATATGTCTATATGTAGGTGATATATCAACTTTTTGCATTAATATGAAAATAGTAGAAGCAGCTAAAGGTTTGATCGCATCTATCTTTGATATGAAGGACTTGTGAGAAACTGATGTGATATTTGGAATTAAAATAGTGAGAAAAGAAAATAGTCTATATCGACATAGTCTCACCACATTAATAAAATGCTTCATAAGTTTGAGCATACTTTAAGTAAGCAACTCTTTATGCCGACAAAACATCATATAAAGTAAAAGAAAAATGAAGGGAGATGTATATCTCAAATAGAATATGTTGGGGTAATTGGTAATTTAATATATGTAATAAAGAGCATGAAGCTTGACATTGCATATGCAGTGGGCAACTTAGTAGATATACAAGTTGCTTTGGTAGAGAGCACTGGGCAGCAAGCTCTCGAGTATTGAGACATCCGAAAAGAGCCATTAATTATGGCATACATTATGTGAGTTATGCCGGGTCGAAAGGATATAGCTGTGTAAATTGGAACATGAAAGTTCCAGATTCACTAACAACATCTAGATGGATATTTACTTTAGCTGGGGGAGCGGTATCATGGGGGTCAATAAAGTCAACTTGTATTTCACATTCTACAATGGAGTCAGAATTTATTGTTCTAGATTTTGCTTGTGAAGATATTCTATATGACCTATCAATGTAACCAAAACCGATACCAATAATGACAATATACTGTGATACTCATGTTACTATTGCGAGAGCATGTAATGATGTATACAATAGTAAGTCTAGACATATTGCGTGCAGACATAACTCCATAAAGATGTCAAGTTATGAAGTGGTAAGTGTAGAATATGTGAAGTCCAAGGCCTTATATATATATGTAAAATTATTTAACATATCAATATATATCAACTACAACGAGAATATGAGAATCGGGCTAGGCCCTAAATAAATATGAAAAAATATTTAATATATCATTATATACCATTTCGAAAAAAAAAAAAAGGTTGTACTTGGGTAGGACCAATGTTGTCTCGAGCCCGGCCTGAAAATAATCCAGGCCTACCAAGTTTGGCCCGATCTCGGCTATGGGCACTAATATGTGGTCCGCCCCAGCCATTAATAGCCCTCGTAACCACCTCTTTAGCTAGTACAATGCATCCATAGTGGTCTTTCTGCAAGAATGCACATAAAGAACATCTAAATGGGAAGTTTCGTGTATCATCAAATGCCCTATGGAGGTGCCATGGGCCAGTTTCTTCACCAGCAGCCCATTAAGTGACGTTCCAAGAATCTCCTTCTATATTAATACGCTAGTGGGTCCCTTCTAGGGATTGAACTCCTTGCACCAGAGCCCTAGGTTCCATGTAATTAGAGCCACAAACAGAATGAGGGTCCAAGTAACATATACGGGCCTTTCTCATTACAATGGCTAATGAGGACCCCCACTCTTGCCACTCTAAGGCTCCCCCTTGAGCTGCTATTTAAGTTAAGCTTTGTAGTGATGGTTAGGGGCCCCACATCCATTAAAGAAACCTTATAGGCTTAATACCCATTATAGAAACCTGCGTACAATATCTTACAATATTTGGATGATTTTTCTACTGTAACAAATACTATATTTGAGTAATTATCCTACTATAACAGTTATATAACAGTCATGCATAATGGTTGCAACTCCTATGCACGTTGATCTACTTGTGTTGTAACTCCTATAGGGATTTGTGTATATGTAAGGCACATTGTCCCACGAGTTGTATAGAGTGAAAAAGACATCTATATTTTCTTAATCTTGTGATTGGATATTACTCTCTCTCTTCTCTCTCAATCTTAACGTCGTATTAGAGTAGAGGATTTGAAACCCTAGGATATGATGATTTCTAGTGACCCTAGAATTATGATTTTCTTCTTTCTTGGGCTTGAAGCTTTCGTGCATCACCAACGTCATTTTTCCAGCAAGATTATCTCGCTTTCCTTTACTAATAATAAATTTTATTCCCAAACTCCTTTTATTTTCAGCAACCTCATATTTCTGGCAGCAACATATTTCCAGCAACCTCACATTTCCAGTAACTTCACATTAGAACTAAGGAATTAGTACTTAAGTAGTAGTAATAATAACAATAATAATAATAATAATAATAATAATAATAATAATAATAATAATATAATAATCATAATAGTTCGGTAGAGAAGGAAAATGTTAGAAATCAAGTATAATATTTCATTGGGAAGCAGTCAATCGGACTACCTAGGATTGATGAGCACCATAGTTAAACTAGATGGGAAAACTACTTATAATGGTCCCAATTTGCCAAAATGTTTATAGGAAGCTAGATAAAATTGTGTTATATCACCAGGAAAAGTGAAAAAGAGTTCTAAAAATGATTCATTCCATGATGAATGAGAAAGTGAGAACTTGACAGTAATAGCATGACTTCATTCCATGCGGCCGAGTATCAACAGGGGGTTTCTATATCTTAAAACTGCAAACAATTTATGGGAGGTAGTAGCCAAGGCATACTCGCAACGAGATATTACAGCTAGGATTTACCAATTGCATCACAAAATAGCGAATTTGCAGCAAGGTTGTGGAAGAGTACTTTGGGATACTAACGTATAAGTGAGAAGAACTGGATCACTGTCAGCCTATTAATCCAATCGCTGATAACATTAAAAAACAGGCCGAGCAGTGAAGGACCTTTGAGTTCTTAGCAGGCCTACATCCTAACTTTGAATTTCAAAGAGTATAAGTTCTAGGAAAGGACAAATTCCCCTCTCTCGAATCAGTATATAATTATGTAAGGAGGAAAGGCAATAGAGAGTCTGTTACAGGAGAACAAAACTCAAATATTCATCCTAAACGATCAGCCTTTGCATCAAGCTACAAGCAAGGAAAAGTGGGTACAAAAGGTCCAAATCGTCCCCCACTTTCTCCTGCTGAAAAGGAGAAATTCAAAAGCTCCTATTGTGGTAAGAGGAGACACACCAGAGGGCATTGTTGGGACTTGCATCCACACTTGAAACCAAAACTAAGGAATGCAAATTCCCACACTGTATCGAGTGAGGGAGAGGAAACCTCAGCCACGGAACCCAATGTATTTGATCCAAGAGATCAGACCCTCAAATATTACAGCAGTAGTTGACTGCTCTCAAGGCTTCAGTCAGCTCTGAGACACCGTTTGAGCAACCAGGTACATATGCAACTGCAAACCATGCCTCCAACTCCACCTCTTCTACACCCTGGATCATTGACTAAGGGACTACTGATCATATGACTAGTAAGAAAGTTGGTTTCTTGTCTTTTTCTCCTGCTTCTAGTGAAGTCGAACTTGGTGATGGATCCATCACCCGTGCCTCTGGGGGTGGAACATATGACCTTTTATCATCCTTGTCCTTATCCTTTGTAATAAATGTGCCTTCCTTCTTTCCAATTTACTTTCTATTAGCACCCTGACATGACTACCAAACTGCAGTGCCACATTCTCTCTCACATTGTGTTCGTCAAGACCCAAAAACGAGGAAGACAATTATTGGTGGTTGTGAAAACAATAGGTTGTATCTGTTCAACACGGGATGCACTTCTACTGATCTCATCTCTTGAGTCTAAAAGTCATGAGCAAGTCCTCTTCTGGCACACTGGCTTAGGCCACATGTATCTAAAATATTTAAAATCATTGTTTCCATAAATTTGTTTCTTTCAATGTTACTCCTTTACTATGTGAGACCTGTCAATTGTCTAAACATTGTAGAACCTCTTTTTCTTCTACTGAAATTAAAATTTCTAAGCCATTCCTTCTTGTTCATTCTGATATTTGGGGCCCGCTACAGTAATTTCCATATTTGGATACAGGTATTTTATCTCATTCATCGATAACTACTCTCATCATACTTGGAGCTATCTTATGGAAAGTAGAGATGAAGTTACCTTAGTAATTAAAATATATCATAAAATGGTTCAGACCCAAATTGAGACTCAAATCAAAATTTTGCATTTTGATAATGCATGAAAGCATTTATACAATGGATTGAACATGGTATAAGAACTCAAATATTGTGTTCCTATACCCAAAACAAAATGGCGTCACAAAACAGAGGAATATACTGGTTAGAAGTGGTGAGAGGCATCACAATAGGAATGAAAGTTCCTAAGATATATCGGGATGAAACGGTTCTTATTGCAGTCTATATGTGATCAATAGAATATTTATACATATTCTCAAAAGTGTCTATCCTATCAAACTTCTCCACCATGCACTTCCTTTGTTTTTTATTCCACCAAAAACCTTTGGTTGTCTGCTTTGTGCATATACCCTGGGGCTGGATAGGAATAAACTAGGACCTCAACCTACTAGATGTGTATTCCTAGGATACTTGAACTCTCAGAAAGGATAAAAGTGTTACTATACGAAAACTGAAAGGAAATATGTCTGCTAGTATGTAACTTTTTTTTTTATAATATACCCTTATTTTCCTTCTCAAAGAGAATTGATATCAACTATGTCACCACCCAGTGTTCCAAGGAATGCCGTTGCCCAGGCGGCCTTGGGGGGTCTATGCTGCCCAGCGCCTAAGCGGTCGCCCATAACCTAGGCGGCCTAGGTTCAAAAGGGGGCAAGAGATGCCCAGTAATCCTGTTTTAGGTGAAAATGTATATTCATGTATTTTATATAATCCAAACAAAAAAACAAAACCAAAAACATCCCAACCGATTGGTATTTTTGCACCTAGGCGGGTGCAATCCCCTAGGAGCCGCCCAGGTACCCTAGGTGCGCCCGCCTAGGTAGGGTACTTGGTGGGCACCCATAAACCACCTGCCTAATGGGACTGCTCACGCCTGGGCGATGTGCCCAGACCCCCTAGCCCACTTAGACTGCCGCCTAGGCGCGAGCCGCTTTTTGAATCAATGCACCATACAATCTTATTCTTCTTCCTCTTCCTATGATCACATATTGTTCCACTAATCCAACCAAGGAACAGGTGGAATATACTTAGAAACAACTGAATTTGCCCACCGAAAAAGAGAACTAAGGAAAGTCTAACGTAAAGGATTAACCCCAACTCATGGACTTGTCAAGTACTACTCCTGCCTCTATTGCCTTCTCAACTCAATTTATCTATTGTCTATTGTCATAAGATATGGAAAAAAGGGATTTGTAGTTCTCATCCAATTTGTAAGTTTGTTTCTTATGATCCATTTTCACCTTCCTTTTGTGCCATACCTTGGCTCTACTTCCTTTGTTCCTATTCCCACCAAGTTCTTGATGCATTAGCTCATCCACAATGAAAAGCCGCTATGACTCAGGAAGTGATTGCCTTAGAGAAGCATTAAACTTGGGATGTAATTGATTTCCCAAAAGGACAACATGTGGTTGGATGCAGGTGGGTGTATACCCTAAAACACAAACTAGATGGTTCGATTGAGAGATACAAAGCACAAATAAAACACTCATTTTTCTTGAAAAAATAAAAATAAACTAGGCATGAACTAACCTTTTATCAGTGCTCACCCTCTTCTTCCCAGAAGTTCGATTCCGTGTGCTTGAGACAGGCGTCCCACTTTTGGTGACTGGACTCTGGCACTTGGATTCCAATTGCAAATTCTCAGTGCTCACCCTTTTTTCCCCAGTTGTTTGGTTCTGTGTTCCTGACATGGATGTCCCACTTTGTGTGATTGGAATCTGGCAGTTGGATTCCAACTGCAATGTCTTGGTGCATGGACTGTTCCGTATATGATCGATCCCTGCACGTGTATCTTGGTAAGAAACAGATGCATGACTTGTATCTTAGAAAAAGTATACACAGATAGATGAGTAGTACAACTGATTTGTTTAAAAGGAAAAGGCTCATGGGCAATAAACATTAACCACATATAGATATACTTTGGCCAACTTCTGAAAATTTGGTAAGATTTATGATAGTTCCAGGGCTGAAATTGAGGCCAGAAGGAGCTTTACAAGACAATATACTAATTGAAGCAGAGACAGTAAAGAAGAGCATTTTAACTTCGTTTCGTAAACCTGTTAGCGAGTTATGCTTTGGACAAGAGTATGTAAATTCTAGATCCTGACCATGAAGCTATAGTTAGATAAGGATCTAGGATTCTGATTATGGGAAATAAAATCAATAGTGTAACTCTATGCTATTTTTTCTTTTCCTTGGGAATACTCCAGTGGGGAAGGGGTACCCTGCCCATGATAGAAATGGAACTTAAGATTGCCCAACATACTATTAAAAATTCTCTAATTCTATGGGGTGAACTAATGTCTGATGCTCTAGGTCTCTCCCCCCCCCCAACTCTCTCTCTCTCTCTCATTCTAATGCAACTCTTTTTGTTATAACTTGAGCTGAATAACCAGATCCAGGCCGGACAATAACTCAATACCACAAAAGATAAGCACTAGCAATGTTCATCCATTTAGTAACCCGATCAGTACTGAGAAAGAAATTGGCTGATTCTTCTCGAGCTAATTACGTCCTATGATCACAAGAGAAAGCAGGTTCAGCCAACTCAGTCTGTAATGGATCTTATAAGTAATTACATCGATCCAGAAAAATGAAAACAGAAAAACAATCATTCCTGAATAAGAAAAATAGAATGATTGAAATGTGAAGCTTATATTCAAGTCCAATCACTGATTCACCAAGTAACACATACTGACACAACACAAAAATTCAACGGAAAAGTAAAGGTAATCCATCATATTTTAAGATGTAAAATTAGATTACATCAGGAAAAATACAATTACAAAAAGGTTATAACACGGATACACGAGTGTGCATCACATGTACACATGTGCATGCACACTTGCATGGATGCTCATACACACAAAAGTAACTGAATAATACCATGAAATAAATATAGCCACAACTGGTTTGTTCTCCAGTTTATGCAGTTGGTAGTTTGTGAAATTCTCAGATGTGATTTTCCCCAAGAAAAACAAGCATCAGGAAATGCCCATATTGGAACAATGGAGAAAAATGGGAGAAGGAAAGTTATTCAGCCAAAATGCACCTAGAAAACATTAAGGACGTGAGTTCCAAAGGATGTACAGCGCTGACTTTCATTCGATTACATCATTTATGAAATGTTTTGGAACTGATTAAATAACTTGTGGTTTAATGCCTAAACTTGCTGTCATCTACATTTCCTCTCTGAACCCTTAATAAAAGCGGGCTTACTCTGATTTAGTGGAAAATAGAAGAATAATCCACAAGTCAACGAAGAAGAAGCAAATTGGATTACCTTTAAGGATACTTAATAACTAAGCAAGACATCAGACAAGTCAGGGAACACGCATCGAAAAACTAGTCTGGATTGGAGAAATAAAGTTACACATGAATATGTAGTCACTCCAAAAACTAAAGAGTACAATGAGTTCTCTACTAATTCAAGTGCATAACTTCAAAAATTGAAGAGTACAATGAGTTCTCTACTAATCCAAGTCAATCTTCAACTGACAAGCCAAAATGCTCTATCAGAATATTCTTTGGAGTCTTGCCAAACCCTTTGTTAATTGTTGTCATACAACTGAATTTCAAGAGTTCTTGCTTTGTCTGGTCCACTCTCCTCAATACTTCAGTAGCAAGGTCCCTAACGTATTCCGGGGAAGGTGAAGACACCAGTAAATGCTTATCCTTATCAAGCTGTTGATATAAGGACAGAAGAAATTCTTTTTGGGCACAAAGCTTTTGCTCGGCAATTCTATATTCTTCTTCCTGAGACTTCCGCAGATTCCAAAGAACCCATTTGATTTGACTTTCGGGATGGGTAAAAAAGTTAAAAGAAGAACTCAGACATGCATTTACATCATTTCCAGGATGAGAGCCCTCTCCTGTATAAGACATAAAAGGCCTATGAGTATATAAAAACATAATTAATACATAGTAACATACATGAATAGTGTATACAAAAATTATCTTACTGATCCAATTTTTAATGGGTAATGTTATTGTGTAAAGATGTTAGCATAACAAGAGTTCACAACAGTTAGTTCATTATCCAACCTAGAAATGTGGAAAGTTTTATTACCAAAGTTGGATACGATCTATCCAATGATTCACAACCCTAACTAAATGAAGCCTGTGGAGAATTTTATTAAATAATCATTCCCTTAAATTTGATCCATTATTAACATTTATTGTTGTTAGATTTTAATGTTTTGCCCCATTCATTTGATTTTCCCAAGTTTTGAAAAAAAAATTAGAAATCTAAAATGTTTGAAAATTCCACCGATGAACTTAGAGACTCTTCAAACCCTGCGGCTGAGTTTTGAGCTGAATCTCTAACATATTAAATTCTGAAACGAGTCCAAGTTTTTGAATTGTAGGATTATGTCCTTATAACTAATGGGCCACATATTATAGCCATTAAATAGAGCATGATATCATTGATATGCAAAAGAATGCAAAACACCCTAATGTCCATTTCATAGAGTATGCTCATAGAGGAACAACAAGAGAGATACTGCAGGAATGCATCTCTAGCTAGAGTAGGCGACATCTGGGTATTTCCCAGCAAGCAAATATAAAAGACCACATTTGACTTTTGAGTATCTATGATGCAAGCATACAATGCTCCAAAAACAGCGATTTAGCATGATTATATTTCCATTTCATGGAAAACTGATGCAAGATGTACAAAGAGTACTATACAAGATCCAATTTTGAACACCAAGAACACAAACTCACAAAACCTGGAAAAAAAAAAGTAATGACGCAATATGTCAGCCACTTTATCGATAAGCCATAGAAGCATAAAGCACATTAATGAAATAAGAGTATTTCCAAATACAACGGATACCAGAAAATGTTTGGTAATGCTTGAATGCCACTTATCTACAAACACATACCTTCAACCATCACAAGTGAACTGTCTTCTAAATCCCACAAGCCTTTAAGCTTAGCTCCATTTTTTAGCTGTCCAAGGGGTCACGAAAGCAGTTGAGAAACAACTAATAAGAACTGTGCATAGAAAAAGAAAATTGCTCTTTCCTATAAATGATGACCACACAAATCATAAACATAATGTTTTCTACTCATTCCATGTAAATATACCTTGTGTAAGACCAATTCTATACTTTTCAGCCAACTCCTTGCACAAAATTGCCGAGACCCACACAAGATCCGAACACCCAACTTGAGATTTTTCTCAATTTCATCACGAGAATCAAGCGATTCACTATATTGAAGAAGCCCAGAAACATGCGAAAAGAGTTCTCTTTTGTTATCACAACGTCTACAATAGTATTCCACATCCAAACCAGCGTTTCTCACTGTGCCAGCCATTTGACAAAGGACAGCACACTCCAAATGAGCAACATGACCACAAACAAACTCCTTTCTCACCACTGCTTCACATCTAATAAAACTGTGACCTCCTAAGCCACGCTCTATACTCTTTCCACAAAGCACACATGAGCAATCCCGACAAATCCCAACTTCACGGCAACATATATTACAATCCATGGCTTTCATAAAATAACTTCCCGCTAATTGAGAAGAGCATTCCCTGTTTCCAGCTTTACAAAGAGTAGCGGCACCTGTGAACCCACCTTCTGTATTTTCAGTGGCCTCGGTTTTCCCAAGAATTTCAGACGAACCATTCTTTTCCACCCTGTTTTGTACTTCATCTTCCATAACCACGTCTATCGATCCAATTTCAGTATTTTTTTCTTTCTCTGATTCACCACAAGTATTAGCAACCCCTACTGCCCTGTTTTTAGCTTCATAATGCATAACCAAATCAGCTGGTTCAATCTCTGATCCTCCATTTTCAATTGCTTTTGTTTCCTTTTCCGAATCCCTAAAAGCATAAATCTCCTTTGCCCTGTTTTTAGCTTTACAACCACCAATGATCTTTGGTGACTTGGTCTCGTTGATTTCAGTAGCACCTAGTTCCTTCTTCAACTTCTCAAGAGATTTACCACCTTCAACAAACAGAGCAAGAAAGGCAAACTTAAAGATCAGGAAAGGAAAACTTAGAGAGAGAGAGAGAGAGAGAGAGAGAGAGAGAGAGAGAGAGAGAGAGAGA